TGAAATTAATCAACAAATCTGGTAAAAAAAATAAAAAATAAAAGTTGCACTTTTTTACTTGAGGAATTTGTTGAATAACTTCATAATTATGAGTTTAACTAGTTGGAGGTAATGCTAAACTTCTCTGCTTCCTGTCCTGCTCATAAAAGGTAAACATTATAAACCCACCATCCATTTTCTACATTATTTGGAAAACACAACACAAATGTAATATAACAAAAGTATGTTTAAAAACAAACATGTTAGCATCCAGCCATAGCCATGTCTGTTTTAGAGACTAGCTCTCTTCTGCTCCTCCATTAATGAGGGGACCCCACGGGCACGTAAAAAGTTGCCTAATTCCGTCATTTTCCACCAATGTGTCACTGGCCACCTCAAACAACTCACATCTTTGTCAGTGAAGCTGAGTGCTCCACATCTCTGCCTTCATGGTGACCATCTACATTAAGATCCAAAATTCTGAGATTAAAGTCAGAATTCTGACCTTTTTCCCGTATTAAACTGAAATGAAATTTAAAAATCACTTAACTTTTTTTTTTTTTTTCAGTGGCCCTAATCCTCTTCCGTAGTCTTGGGATGATCACTCATCCAATATTTAACTGCTAACTTTCTCTAGACGTTTGCTACGCTAGCCAAAATGTTTTTTTTATTTTTTTATATCTCATTTCAGTACAATGCCACCACCAACTAAAAGGCTGAAACAGCAGTAGGACTTACTCAGATTTTTTTAAAAAGAGAAACGTCAGTGTGAGTAACAGTCACCTAACACAACTTGTGTTGAAATTAGCCCGGTCTGGGCGTGCGTTTAACGAGGATTTTTTTAATTTTTGCGTGGTTTTGATTCGCCGAAATTGACAGATGTTATACCTGCCGCGCTCCTGATCGTTAGTTAAAACCACAGGGAGAATTAATTTTAATTCTTAGCAGCGGCGGTCGCATTGGTTGTGCAGCAGTCCACTGCACAACCACTAATTAACCAACTAATTAACTTCTGCACCTTTATTTCCTCAAATAAACTGCTGGCTCCTCTTTTTAGACGATAAACAGATTAACACAACATTGACAACTGTAGTTTTCTCTGTTCTGTACTGCAAACTGGAATTAAAGGCGCCATTTCTACCAAAGGTCTTGACAGACTGGCGACCTGTCTAGGGTGGACCCCGCACCAGCACCTCCCGACCCCACTAAGGGACAGGGTGTACAGAAAATGGAAGGATAGATGGATTTCTACCAAAGGTTGATAATGCGTTTTTGAACCAGATGCTTCAAAGCGCCCTGTCCATAATTCTTCAACACACTGTCAGCTCCCTCTGTCAGTCAACCTATATAAATTCATTTTTGACCATTATTGCAAGTTTGACAAAATAAAACATATCAAACTTTGCACATGTGTGGCTTAGTGAATTGTTTTTATTCAAACTGAAATATTTGATTTTCTAGTGCGTATGCGGACACTAAATATGCTAAGGGTTGAAGCCCTTGAAAGACACCTCCCTTTGCTTAATAAAAGACTCCAGTCATTTTGTTTGGTGATATGCTCACATCTTATGAACAAATGCATTATGTAAATTTTAAATGCATTATTTTTGCAAGACACATTTATAAAGGAATAAAGTAAAAGATTAAATAGCCTTTTTTTTAAGTAGCATACTTAAGATATGTTTCTGTTGAATACGAATCTCAGATTTCCGACATGTGTCCCCCCCAATAGTAAACATATTCCTACGCCCTTGCTCTTACGTGAAAGCATGTATCGTTCCTACTCTGCCGTGGGGCGCCTCCCCCACCCCAACCGCGTTTTCCCGCAGGAGTCCCTCTCAGCGCTGCAGTCAGAGCCTCAGCGTCCAGACTGCAAATGAAGCGCGCATGCACCGGGATTGACGGCGCAAATTGATCACAATAATTAAAATAGCCTGCGCTTTGTAAAGCGAAAAAAGTAACATGCAACTTTTGTCAAAAGAAAATTAACATGGCACGGAAGCACCATGTTTGTTTGGTTTTAAAGTGGGGAAACGTTACGTTAGTTTCTCAGGTAGCTCATCTGATGCTTTCCTAACCGTGTTAGTAGGTTACAGACAGTGATTAGGTTGGCTACTTATTTTACTTTTAATTTCATTTGAATTAGCTTAAGCAGCGTTTACATTTACTTTATAAATAAATTAACTTGCAAATTATGAGGGCAAGGCTTTTAAAGTTTAAATCTTCTGGCAAAGATAAAGTAAAGAAGATCCTGCAATTTATGGAAGTAAAGCAGAATAAAATCCAGCAAGATCAGTAATATGTCAATTAATTATCTGCCACATTCCCATGTAAATTGGAGTCTTTGGAGGATCTGTTTTTTACCACCCCTAGTTCTCTCATTTTCATTCCAAATACAATTTATAATTTGAATCACAGGGCTATTTTTATCTCTATGATTCAGTATTTTCTCAAGTAGCCACTTTAACTGCTATTCTTTCCTGTCTTAAAAGGCAGAACTCTTCTAGTCTAAAAAAACCTCATTTGTTGAAATGGGGGGCCTATTGTTTGAACCCCTAAGGGGCTTTTAAAAACAAAAATGTCTTTTTTTGCGCTTTATGAAACAAAGTACCCTATATTTTGTGGATGTACAGCTACATTTCTCATGTAAGTTTGCGTAGTTTTAACACAAACATTTATTTTTCATATTGCACCAGTACAGTTAATGAGCAACCTGTACTTGTGTGCTTGTTTGTTCTGTCTAAAATGTTTATTTTGGAATAAAGAGGTTAATATAAAAAATATTTTTTGTCCGATTCATCGATTAATCGAAAAAATAATCGTCCGATTCATCGATTTTTAAAATAATCGTTAGTTGCAGCCCTAAAAATAATATTAATTTGGGGCTTTTGAATTATTTTTTTTTAGAACATTTTAGTCCAAAGTTGAATCACTAAACCTCAGCTGATAAAGTTTTGGCATAAGTTTGGGTTTTTTTCCCCCTCTGATTCACAGATTATTTTGACAGGCACAAATAAAAAGATTGATCCCCAAATTGAATTAATTGTCCCTTAGCTTCTGACCTGATATTTGATTGATTGACTTTATTGATCTCACTGGAGAAATTTACTCATTACGCTGGAAAAAAATCAAAATCTAGATAAGTAATTTTTTCTTAAAATAGGTGCATTTGTTCTTGGATTCAGTAAAACAGACATCTTGCCAATAGAACAAGACAATTTAGATTTAAAATAAGAAAACACAATTGCACTGTCTTATTTCAAGTGCATATTATCTATTTATCTTTTTTAAAGAGTAAAAACACTCATTATATTGGCAAACTATCTCATTTACCTACTCAAATTAAGGGTAAATACACTTAATTTAAGAATTTTTTATGTATTTCTAGATTGTTTTTCAAGTGTACATCAGCTCAAATAGTCAAAGAAGAAGATGCATGGGATATATAAAGCACCTCCAAAAAAGACAGCTTTTTTTATATTAAGATCATCAAGCGTTATTGCACTGGGTGTTTACATGGGTATTTATATAGATAAATATTTATATATAGTTATTGCACTGGGTGTTAAATATGGAGGATAAAAAGTGCCAAAATTAAATAAATACAGCATTAAATAAATAATTAAATGTGTTAATAATTAATTAAATGTGGAATTAAATAAATAAATGTGTCATTCATTAATTAAAACCACGTCACTATTATAAAGTGCCTGAATTAAATAAGTAAATACAGCGATAAATGTGTTCTCTAGCCTTTAATGCCACGATTATCGAATTTAATGAATTTTAATGCCAATTAAGGCCTTAATTAAAAAAATTATTTAATGACTTTTAATGACCCGCAGAAAGCCTTTATTATGCTGAATCAAGAATGGATGCATTACTGTGTGGATAAAATGAGTTTGAGAACAAAAAAGATGAAGAACTAACTTCCTTTAAAGATTGGATGCCAGGGTATGGTCTTTCTAAATGTTATTCCTGCATTTATTCAAACGTTTCTATTTCAGAATTCATTTAAATTATTACCTGTTTTTTAAATTATACTTCAAGACTATTCAAGAAGTCTAAATGAGGAAAACAGAGGCTTGAAATGACTACAATAAAAAAAAAACATTGATTATGACAAAAGCCTGAATCTCCTTAGCTTCTTTCATTCACCAACCAGAGCAGAACAAATAAGACGCCAACACCACACAGAGTCTCTGTATAATCTCAATAAACCCACATTTTTAAAACATTTTTAATTTATAGCTGGAAAATTACATCTTTTACATGAGCCCATTCTGGTGTTACAGGCAAAAAAAAAACAAAAAAAAAACAGGCATCTATGAGTAACCACAGGCACACTATGGGCTGACTTTTACTACACTAGTTACAGCCACATGTAAAAGCTGTGGCATCTGTTAAATATTGTGTTTAAACTTCATAGGATTGAGGCAGTCTGCTTTACATAGTAACAAACCTGCATTTGGTCATTTAATGACAGACTGAGTCAAAACAAAATGAAACAATAAGGTCAATTTGGGGATGTTAAATATTGGACTTATGTACAGGTAATGGCTCGTTCCAAACAGGGTTCCCGTATTTCTTTTCTGCCCCGATCCGACCATCTTCCCTCTGCAAGGTGTCCGCCCCCCCCCCCCCCCCCCCTCAGAATGTGAACTGAGAATCCCCTCTGCACTCAACTCAATGGATAGATTTGGTTGTGGTTGTGCTTGTCAAAAATACCGTTTGCAAAATGGGACGAACGGACCAAACAGGAGTAACAGAAACAGCCAAGGCGTTCACATTCGTGGAAATCAAATCGTCTCCATGCTGCATCTGCTGTAATATAATAAAAAAAACAGCCCCCACTAGTAGCCCAACGATCATTAAAATAGACGGATGTGAACAAAGTTATGCTACTGCTTTAGTGAATGTCAGCAGGCATCAATAAGCTACTGTTATAGTTGAGGAGGGAGGATTGATGGCAGCTATAAAGACGATGGAAAAGGTGTTTTTAACATAAAATGAGTTCAAGGAACAACTTGAAGAAATATTTATTGGATAAAATTTAAGACTTTCCAGACTTTTGGGGAACCCTGTAAAAAGCTAAAGGTGGACTGGATGCAGGATGGTTTCATTTTCCAGGAGAAGGTTTTATCTCAATGATTCCTTAAGCATTATGGCCATTTGACAAAATATCAAAAAAAAAAAAATTTAAAAAAACAACAAACTGGGAGGGTGTTAGGGGGGAAATGCGTTTCCACTTGGAAGAGGTATGTCATTTATTAATCGTCCGTCAGGTCCTGAACAAAAAGGACCTCGGAGCGGCTGAGTCCCGCCTCTTTCAGAGTGGGTGGGTTGGACTGCTCCTCGGTTGGAAGGCAGGGCAGGACTCGGCGGGGGAAGTTTGTAGCTATGTGGAACTTCTCTGGAGTTTCTTTCAAAGAGAAAAGGAAGTCGTGTATTACCTGCAAGAGGAGAACAGCTGAGCGAATACGCCAACAACCCAAAGCTCACAACTAGAAAGATTTCTTTACCACTGGTGATCTCTGCTGATTTTTATGTTAAATAGGCCAAATGCTACTCACCGACAGAGACTGACCAAACAGGAATCGTCTTTCTACTCTCGTGTCATTCGGCAGCTTAAACACTATTTTGACACTTTCTGGATCATCGGCCGGCGGCTCTGGAGGAAGACACTCCGACTTCCTCTCCTTCTCCTCCTCCAGTGTCTGTAGACATTATGGATTAGAAATTAAAGACAGCATAGGACTGCAGAGCAGTTTCTAGAGATAGATGGGAAAAAGGGCCGTACAATATTCCAGTTTTTTTTCTTTGTATCGAGATGGGCCGATTTATTAGTGCACTCAGCAGCCATGCCTTTAGGTAAAGCGACGGACATGCAGAGCTGCTCCTTCCATTGATTTATGAGTAAAACTGTTTTTGTTTAACCTGATATTTTTGTAACAATTGTCGTCATGTCACTTTTTTCCATGTAAAGGGAGGAAGAAAATTGGCGGCAGGTATCCCGATTTACTGACGTTGAAATCTGTATTGTTCCTAAAAACCCGTATGGGTCGATCTCCAGTGTTTCAATACAATAAAAGAAGTAAAGTGACTCACCCTTCGCCTCCTTTCCTCTGCCAGAGCACTTTGTCGGACCTTCTCTTCCTCTTGCTTCCGCTGCTCTATCTCCTCTCGTTTCTTTCTCTCTTTCTCTTGATCGGCGCGGAGGGAGGCCAGGTAGGCCTCATCCTGCTGCTGCCTCAGGACTTGGGTCTGGTTCCTCTCCTCTCTGAAATAGACATAATAATAATAGAACTTTATTGATCTCACATTGGAGAAATTTACCTCTGCATTTAACCCATCCCTTTGCGGAGCAGAAGGCTGCCATCGTGGGGCGCCATTGGAGCAATCGGAGGGCTCAGAGAGTGGCAGTGGGTTTCGAACTCAAACACTCAGGATTCCAAGCTCTACGCCCATACCACCAGGCTGTGTGTGTGCTTGTGTGTATATATCACACAAACATATAAACAAATTGACCTTTTTTGAAACCATCCAATTAGTAATCCACTGTTTTCCAGCTCGACTATCCTGACTGGGAAACAGGTGGTCTTTAACCAGCATTCAGCCAACTCTATATGTAGTTAAGCAGTAGTAGGTTTTGATAACACTGCTCATTGTGGAAGTTAGAATAGAAAATCCCTTTATTGTCCCACAATGTAGAAATTGTTGTGTTTGCAGCAGCAAAAAGATTATAGAGAAACGGTCACACAAATGTGGACCTTAGAAAAAATGTATAACAATAACAATAGTTAAAAGATCAACAACAAAGGATGTTACTGAAGGAAAACAACTTCAAATGTAAGTTAGAGAAAATACATAAATGTAAGAAGATTCCAGACAGAAAACTGTTCTTTTTAAAGCATCCCCTTAGGAAGCAGAGTGGGGTTAAGGGTCTTTGCTCAGGGACCCGGAGTGGCAGTCTGTTGGAGCGGGTTTCGAACTCAGAACTTCAGGATTCCAAGCCTACTACTTCAGATAAAGAGCGAGATAACAGGAAGCTTGAAGTGAGCACAGAGATGTTGCTCAATCTGATCCTTTTGTGAAACTTTTCTATCATGAATGATGCATCTAAAACATAAACCATCTGTTACACTAGATCTATAAATATCACACCCTTCCTTAAATGCTGCAAATGTTGGGAAATGGTGATGTAAAATGGATGACAGGAGCAGAAAGGAGGAGAGCACTGTGGGGCGTTGCCAACTCACAACTGTCTTTAATAAGTTTTCCAAGAATGGATCCTCCCAGAGAGCATACGGTTCAATCAGCTCTCCTATTCCCTTTTCTAAACACAATGGAACTGAAATTGTGAACACACACTACGAGAATAGATCCACTTCCTGTTAAATGTGAGAGGAAGTTTTAAAATTCAAAGCAGACGGTTGTAGTACCGTTCCAGACGCTCTGACATCAGATATGTTTGGTTGGCTTCCATGATGAATGTAAGCTGATTGGTGAGGTCTTCTGGCTGGATGACGCCCTCCAGTCTGCCCACCACTGTCATCTTGTGATCCTTCAGCATTATCATGGCCAAGAACGGGTAGGTGTTCTCCCGCAATGCCTGGGACACTAAAACAGACCAAAACACATTTTACTCGTTCAACGGTTCTGCTTTAAACAACTGAAAGAAACACGTTGAACCTTTAAAGGGATCCAGGATTAAATGAAACAAGAGACTTTATTGGAGAAGTATTAATTTTCCATCTTAAAACAACAGTAAAAAAAAACAAACCGTTTGCTGTTTAGTTATATTTTCACACAAAATTGCCATGTTTACATTGCAATGCATTCTGGGTAAATGACATTTGCTAAGTTCTATGGTGCTAGCAATGTCAGGGCTCTATGATAACCATCGCCCGAACGCCCGGGGCAAATAGTTTTTATTGTTGGCAGAGTACAAATTTCATTGCATTTGCCCGCCGCGCAAGTGCAATGATCGCAAAAAAAAAAATTTATCACTCAAAATTATTTTAAAATCACGACATTCGCTGAAAACGACCTACAAGCGTTGCCGGCGCCATCTTTGTTGTATTGTACACATTCTCGCGTGATTTGAAAAAGCCGCGTGATTTTCCACTAGATGGCATGAGTCAGTAATTTGACTCCGCCAGATGGATTTGTTCCGCGTATCCATCTGGAAACCTTCCATTGAAGTAATTTTGGGAAAGGGCGAAAATACTGGTTAGCTGATTGGCCTATGTTGGTGATAGACGGGCCAAATAAACCAATCAGATGAACGAAGCATATGACGTACTAACAGAGCGACGACGAAGAGGAGCCAATTGATAGATCAAACTGTTGCCGAAACCAGTCGGGAGAAGAGCAAAAACATCTTTTCCTCTGAGAAAAGCCTCCAGAGCAGTGTTTTGCTCTTCTTTCAGTGAAGAAATACTCTGTAATTCCGATAAAACTTGCTCGATAGCCACGCTAGCGCTAGTTTCATCGGCTGAAGCCGCCATGTTCTTTAGACTGAACTGTCGCGCTTCTCGTTGCGTCACACCTCAACCCGCCTCAAAGCCAACGCTGATTGGACGTTCGTTTGGTGAACGGCTCCTAATTTTCTTCAACCGAGAGTCTCCAGACTGATTAGTAAGTGAAACCTTGAAAGCTTGCGAAATCAGGATGGTCTCACGAGGCTAGTGATTCAGCTCTTGGGGAGAGAATGCAGAGCAGCAGCTGGATGATGAATTTAATCTATACTATAATACACGCTAGATTAAAAATGATCAGTCAGGTATTAGGAAGATAATAATAATTATTGTATGCACACAGTGTAAATATTTCTATCATATGGCAGTCTTCTATACAGTGGTTATACATAAAAAAATGTTCATTAAATGTTTTTCTTTTAGACATTGGAGAGATGCATTTAAATGTTATAGAGCTAAACATGTTAAATTGGTGAGCAGTAGTAGTGTAAGTTTTTAACCTGTCAAGTTTTTTTTTAGATTTTTAACATTACAATTTATAATTTTCCAAGCACACAACTAGGGATGCACGATATTGGGATTTTGGCCGATAACCGATATCGATACCGATGTTAAAGCTGGACAAAAATAAGTAGTCATTGAAAATAGCAGTTTTGTTATCCATTTCTGACACTTTGAAAAATAATATACTCAAATATATTTTCATATGCTGATATCAAATTGATTATTAAAAATGCGGTATCGATCTATTTTACTTTCAAAATCTTGTGAAATTTCATCGTTCTGTTACAAACTCTCGTGATATTTTGCAAATTCTTGTGAGATTTTGTTAGTAAAAAAGATCGATACCGCGTCAATATATCAACATATAAAAATATGGCAAAATTTCGTGAATTTTCGGGGGATTTCATAGCATAACGATGACATATAGCAATATTTCATTAGTAAAAGAGATTGATAAGGTGTTTTTAAATGGCAATATATCAGCATATGAAGATATTGTGATATTTTAATTTATCAATATTTTTTCCCTTGTCTTTAGAAGTTTTTAAGTCTGTAAAAATAGGTTTTTGAGGAAGAAGAAGAAGTAGTATTTTTTTTTTTTTTTTAAGACTTTAGAAACTCAGAAGCTGATCAAATATGGGGTTAAATATCGGTGGGGTGGCCGATGTCCGATATTCAGTTTTAAGGCTGATACCGATAGGGGGCCGATTATATCGTGCATCCCTACACACAACAGTTTAAAGCAAAGTTTAGTTTGAAAAGAATGTGCAGGAAGGATTGAAAAGCATGTTAACACGATAATGTAGGCTTGAGTTCATTATCTGACGCATGCATAAGCACACCAGGAACCTGGAAACTTACTGAATTACAAAAAAAACATTTAAAAAACAAACATGTTTCATTGATATATATACAAAAATTAATATTAGGAACTATATTTATCAAACATAATACTGGGCAAGTAAAGATTGTTTCTGGGCAAATGAAATGTGAAAGTCACTTGCCCACAGGGCAAGTGGTAAAAATCCTTAATGTGTAACAATAAAACCTTTTCAGTTTTAACTGGAGTCCATGGAACCGATGAGAACATAGAAATCACAGAAGTTACGAAGATAAGGAGGATTAAAGGGAGTTGGCTAAAGAAGAAGATGTTTGTGCAGCTCCTGCTATGAGATGCTAACCCAGATGGGGAGCTATGCAGTCCAGTCAGACCTAACCACATCATCTAACCAGCATGCACTGCTCAGGCAAAAAAATGGCGGTCGCCATGGGTGAAAAATATAATAATTATGTTTTTAAGCAGCACAAATGGTGCATACATACATTTACATGTTACAAATGGCGCGCTGCTCAGTGGCACGGTGGTTAGCACTGCTGCCTTGCAGCAAGAAGGTTCCAGGTTTGATTTCCGGACCGGAGTCTTTTTGCATGGAGTTTGCATGTTCTCCCTGTGCATGCGTGGGTTCTCTCTGGGTACTACGGCTTCCTCCCAGTCCAAAAACATCACTGTTTTGACAGATAATTGGCTTCTCTACATTCCCCTTAGGGGTGAGTGTGTGTGTTAATGGTTGTTTGTTCTGTTTGTCTCTGTGTTGCCCTGGCGACCGGTCCAGGGTGGACCCCGCCTCTCACCCATAGACAGCTGGAGATGGGCACCAGCACCCCTCATAAACTCACTTGGGATAAGCTTGATGGAAAATGGATGGATGGATGCATTATAAATGGTAATTTCCAAGTTAATAGGAAAATGAAATCAAGTTTAACTAGCAGTGGATTCCTTTAAATAGAAATGGACAACAGAGATCCGGTTCTTATAGGATCAAATAATGGTCCCACATTAATCCATAATAACTTAATTGAATGATATTAGAAAACCTTGCAATTCTAATAACTGTAAATATTCAGATGACGATAGGTTTCCCACTCTTCCTCATCTGTGCTTCATGAACTCAATGACTTCTATCAATAAAGGCTCTGTGCTGACATACCTCTGTAACCCTCTGGTTTGCTGGTTGAACATGCCCAGAAGAGCATTCTGGTGTTGATAAACGTAATCACCTCTTCCGAACATAGTGTGGAGCTAAGAGAAACATCAGAGAGAAAACATTTAGACCTTAAGTGGAACAACATTTTGTATGCATATCTTAGCTTTCAAAATGATTAATTCCTTATTTTTACAAAGACGCCAAAACTTTAGCGATTATAACCATCAGAAGAAAAAAAAGACAGAGTGAACCTTCCTTGTAAAGTGTTTCCATGATGGTATTCATTACAGATATCAGCAACTGTTGACTTCAGAATAATTATCATACCGGCAAAACTCATCAGTGTCCTGGTGATCATCTCCATGCAGGTACACTAATAGGTAGCGGAGCTCCCGTTTGGCATCATTCAGTGCCTGCAAGAGTTACAATAAAACACCATTACCTTTTTTTGTATGTGTGTGAGTGAATATTGGACAAAAACAAGTTTAACTGGAAGGTAGTGATGTTATGAGATGGTGAGGTTGGTTTAGCCAAAGCATTGGTTGAACACATAACTTCCAACCCGATTAAAAGCAAAAACTGTGGAAAAACTAGTATGTTTCAATAAAAATGACCAACACCTTTCATTTTGCTCATCATTTTCACAAGCAATTTCACTGTTTGCTTGACATTATTCCACTAAAATGGCAGAAAACAGCCTCCCTAAATTGTTCTCTTCTAAGACATTTTACACACAAAAGATTGTGTGAAACTTACAAAAGATTTTATTATACACACAATTAACAATTTCAAAGGAACTTGGGGGGGAAAAAAACATTATATTATATTACTAACTGTAGTTCTACACTCCACCAGTAGGTGGAGACATGTTCACATGAAGCTTCATGAACTGTGGGGATCGAAGCAATTTGGCCAAACGGTTCGATGCCTCATGAGGCTTCATTTCACCATCACTACTGGAAGGCTCCTCGACTTTAAGTCAATTTAAGGGCAATTGGAGGGAAAGGGAAGATGAAAAATAAGTTTTACTTCTTCATACCCCTTTTCAGAAAATTCTCATTAATCAATGTACATACCAACAGGTTTATCTGATGGAGGGTATTTATTAGGGATGGAACGGTTTATGAAAACCGTCTGAACCGTTCGGTTCGACTGTCTCGGTTCGGTTCCCGTGTGTTGTGTTCGGTTCATGCGCTGCTCCTTTTTCTCATAGGCGAAGCGTTTACACTCAAAGCCAACCACCAGTAGTAAGCAAGAAGAAGAAGAAGCGAAGCAGCGTAGCAGAAAAAAATCAGTTGTTGTGGAGAATTGTGTGGGTATGGCGAGTGGGAAAGAACAGGAGTTGGAAGACGCGCCAGCAGCACTTTATAGGTCTGCTGTATGGGACCACTTTGCATTTAGAGTGACCTACGATGACGGTGGAAAGAAAGTTGTGGATAAAAGGGCAACAGTGTGCAAGCATTGTGCAACACGTTTTGTTTATGCTAACAGCAACATGACCAACATGTCATGCTAACCCCGAAACCCCACATACTCCGTCAGCGCTCCGCCCCGCTGCGCTCCAGACTGCCTGCACAAAGCAAAGCCTACAGCCTCCGCTGTGGCTCCTGTCCGCTTTGCTCTGAGTTCCTTGGAGATCGTAGAGAGCATGCGCCAGATGATTAAATTCAAAGCAGCAAAACATGTGGAAAAGATCCAGGGTTTCTGCGGATCATTAAAAATAATTACAATTCATTCATTTTTATGGGATTTTTTCATTAATTTTTATGGGATTTCGGTGCAACAATCAACATATACCGTACCGAAAACTGTGACCACGAAACCGTGAACCGAACCGTGGATTTTGTGAACCATTCCCACCCTAGTATTTATGTTCAGGTGAATTTAGTTAGTTTGGTTGATGTTAACTAGTGTCTTTTATGTGTATTTTTTATTGATTCATTTATTGTTATTTATTGTTGTTTGTCAAAAAATTGTCTGTAATAAATTTCTTATTCATTCATTCACCATCAAAGCATTAGATTTTATGTCACGTCTTACGTTCATGAGCGTTCCTGTTTCCCTTTAAACACATACAGACTCACCTGGCTGTAGGTCCCCTGGTAAAACACCGGGTGTGACCGACCGTACTTTTCCTCAAAGCTATGAATGAAGGACACGACGTCCCCTACAGGGTCCGTCACTCGGGCGCGAGGGTCTGGTCTGATGAATCGCAGCGCGTACCTTCAAACAAAGAAAAGCGCATCGGTAAACATTCCCTTTTAGATTTATGAAATCTAAAAAAAAAATTAAAAAAAACACTAAAATTACCTGAATATGTCCAGAAGTGTGTAATACGTAAATCTGAATGGTAGCATAATCAAATAGTAACCCCATCCTAGTAAGCCCTGAAAAAGAAGCACTGATTAACTCTTTTGCATCTTAAAACAAACAAATGAGCATTTTCCTTTATTTTTTGATCCAAAAGATGCACCCTGGGTTGAGGCCTGGAGACGATGTAACTATATACTCTATGGTCTGCTGTGTTGACCTGAAGAGGTCTGGATGGTGGAGGGTTAAACACACTAGGAACTCCTTCCTGCTCATTAAGTCTGTCCTGCACTGCAGCCTGCAACACATCCATGCAAACCCATCAGAATGGTTCTTCAGCATAGAAAAGTCAAATGAGAACAATCACATGTCGGTTCACTCGACTTTACCTCTATGTTCCAATTGTGCTGCTCTAATGTTCGGCGGCATTGGTCCATTGATTCCAACCCCGTTAAATCCTGTTGGACATAAACAGAAAGTCAGAAGGAGTGAAAACAGGAATGCTTTGTTTTATATTTCCTTTGAGAAATAATCGCATTTTTTCCCCTCAAACGTTTTTAACCGAATGGACTTCAACTCCAAATGTGAATAAACAGTTTTCCATATAGTTTGAGTCAATAACTTAAGTGCTGCTGCTTTTATAAATAGATACCTTAGCTTAAGCTAAACAAGTTACTTTCCTCATGTCTGCATACTAGGTTGGTGACAATGCTACCTTCTTAAGAACAGCTGATCCGCCTTTTCAGGTTACAGTTTAGAGAATTGCAGATTATGCCTTGAAGGAAAACATCCTTAACCGGATTTTCTGGAAGCGTCTTGATTTTTCTGAAGTAGAATTTAAGCTTTTTTTACTATCTGAAAAAACCCTCCATATTGTGCTTTTTACTACCTAAATACAAAACATAAAATAACCAGATAAATGAATGCAACCTTAATTTTCCAACATAATGTCTGCAGCCATTAAATAAGGGGAATAATTTCTAGCCAATTGCTTTAATTTAAAGACATTTAAATGCCTTTTTGTTTCAAAGTCAAACTCCATTTCTTTTTTTTTATGAAAAATGACATTTAAACAGAATAAATGAGGATTACAACAAGTAATTTAGTAATTAAGTATTTCAAAGATTTCATGCAATTTTAATGTCTTCAGTTAAGCAATACATTTATGATTTTAAATGACTTCTTTATATGCAGTTATGGTAATTATGGTTAGCTAATATTTCAAGTTTTTAGAGATCTTGGTATCCATTAAAGGTTTTTATCAAAAAGCTGACTAATGCTGGGCGATCCATCGAGACTTTAAATCTATCGAGATTTTTTTAAAAGAGGTATGATGAGAAGGTATTGTTAATACTGAGATGGTTTAAGTTAGAATTATACATTTATACATGCCAACAGACTATTTCTCAGCCATTTCTCATGTTTTTCTATGAGCTGTTGGTCAAAAATGTCTCAGAGATGCCTTTTATAATGACTTTATAAAAGAAAAACATATTTAGATATATATAATATACACTGTACTCAGCCTAAAAATGCCAAAAATCAGTGTTGACATTCAGTCAATACTCATAATGTAAGATAACTTTACCATAAAAAAAAAAAATCAATCAATACAAATATTTTGAGAATATAAGTCATAAAAACAAAATAAATCACTATAAAAAATTAGATAGCTTAATTTAGCCAGCAAGACAAAACTTAAAAATATAAATATATGCAAAACTAGGGTTATCAAAGTACCAATACTCTACCAAGTGATGATACTCAAAAGCCGTATCCAGGTATAATAGGCTACTATATAGCATGGTATCAATACTAAAGGCAAGTTTTGTTTGCATATTTATGCTTTTGTTAATTTTAGATTTCTGGAATATCTGTGTAATAAAAGAATACTGCCTCCAACAATCTATAAATCCTGTCAAATTATGTTATAGTGTTGTTATTTATTTACACAATTATTTAACTGATGTAATCTGATTTTGTTGCAGAAGTAGATTAAGTTAAGTCCATGTAGTTTTTAATTTCAGATATGATTTACGGCTTTAACCAATTGCTTTTTTAAATTCACATGGGCTCAATATTAATATTAAAATTGTTGTATCGCCCCAACCATATTTGGTACATGTAAAAAAAAAAAAAAAGATAACCAATTTAACTTAAGCTAAGGTTGTATTTTATGTTGGTTTGATCTGATAATATATTTTGGGATATGTAAAAGGGTTTGATCCTTTTCAGTAAAGTGAGATTTCCTGAATTGGCCTTACATAAATAAGGTAAGAAAACCCTGGATTTTAATACATTACTCAGAAAGATTGCAAACAATATTTTTTTTTAAGTAATCTAGGCAGCAAAAATAAAAATCAACCTAAAATCAGCTCCAACATTTGTCCAACCAAGATGAAAGCATGTGGTTAACTTACACAACAGGTTAGAAAAATGTTGAAAGTAATACAAAGTAATTATCTGGAGTAGAACAGGATTAAATGTATTTTTTTAAAACATAGATAGAACAATAACCGCCAGCTAAACACGCATCAGACTAACAAGGTAACACTGCATCAACACGTCTCACTGCCGCTTCCTAAAATGTTAAATAAACAATTGAGAAACACTGAGAAGTCCTGAAACTTCTGTGACAGTCAGGATGACAGCTGTGCTAATGTTGACTTAGCAAATGTTAAGCAGCCAACGTTAACTGGAGACACAATCCAAGATTAACGAAGCCAACGGCCGAAAGAATTATTTTTTTGACTAATAGAGGTCGATAGAGTACGCGTCTAAAACGCTATTTCATTTATATAAGGCTATTTTAGCCCAGCCACGTCCCACAAAGTCTGCTAACTTGTTGGTTAGCTTAGCTCCTTTTGGTAGCCCTGCCTCCAGTTGCCGTTGGGGGATCGTAATCGAAGTTGAGTGTGTGACAAAAAAAAGGCTTTTCATTCAATATGACGACCTGTTCACCGCGATCAGCTATCTGTGGAAGCACATCAGCATATGGGATTTTAAATGGAAGCATGTTAATGAGGATTTTTGACAGTGTACCTGAAATTGAAGGAGTTTTTCGGTCTGCGCCTGGGATAATTCTGGCTCCTCTGGCGCCGCCATCTTACCTCGCCAATCACCCAGCCAGGCGTAAGAACGTCAACCGTCTTTTCCTGCTGCTGCTGGCTGCACTGCCGCGCGCTCCGAACGCATCTGCCACCTAGCGCTGTGGAATGTGTATTACAACATCCCGCCTGATCCGATAACCGGGTTCAGTTTAGCTTTTTTTTTAAATGATGATGATGATGATGATGATGATGATGATGATGATGATGATGATGATGATGATGATGATGATGATGATGATGATGATGATGATGGTAAACTGCGCATTAATTAGACTTTTCTTTTTCTAGGTACATTCTGAGCTTTATCTAGTTTACACTGACACTGTTTTTCACCAAATTGTGTGTTTTGTTTTAATTATTATGACATCATATTTATTAATTATACTACTTAAAAACAAAATTTCTAAAAGTTTAGAAAGGCAATAGTTCAATTTTTGGACATTGAGCTATTTTGTACAATTTTTGTTTCCAATTTCAGAAGGAAAAATAAAAAGATTCTGATCCATAGTTTTATTTTTACTTTTTTTGTGTGTCATTCTTGAATAATAGCAGCTAGATTGTTTTTGGTGATTATATAAGATTTGATGAGTCATCCTGATCAAAGTGTGCAGGTTCTGATTACACAATAAGAAGACCTGCCTGTGAACCCAGGCTTTTAAGATTTCAGTCAGTTCCAATATAGCTCATACATAAACTCCGTATTTATCTATATTTATACATTTCATTGGGATTTAGAATTCAACAAAGGTTTATATTAAAACAGAAAAATATTGTGAAAACTTATCAGTTAACCAATTTAATACACTGATAAACAGGCCTATAACCACCAATAACTGGTTAGTATTTTTTTCAGGGGCTTACACCCACAATTAAAAGGAAAAACATGAATAAAGAAAAGGTTGTTTAGCCTATAGAATAATAAGTCTAGGTCTCAAACCATCCACACATTTCAAAATCAGGGGCCCGATGTTTGAATGAGGATTTGAGAGGCACAAATCCCTTTTCTTTTTTTTTTAAATCCAGTATTAATTTAAGAGGGTTTCTTGAAACCACAAGTCTGACTTGCTACCAATATCAGTTTTAAAAATTGTTTCACTTTGCTGGATTGAACAGCAAACAGTCCAACTCTATAGAGGATAATTGAGAAACTGTAAACAATAATGCATAAAAGCTGAAGGCTCCTCACTGCATGAAAAGTGAGATTTTCGTCCCCGTAAACCCCCGTAAACTCCCGCAGATCTGCCTGATTTTCGTCAGTTTCCGACAATTTGCAACCCGTGCTTGTCCGCGTTTGTCGTGCCACAAATTGTCGGAAACGGACTCTGACGTATGTGGAGAGCGATCAGCTGTACTAATGGCCCTAATTAGCATATGAATGCAGCAAACCCGCGCGGCTGGCCAGGTCTGGCTTGAATAACCTTCTCAGTATTGGCTGAAACCACTATTCTCAAACAAGTGAAATCGCTCGTGATTGGCAGCAAAACCACACGTGGCCACGCCAGGCTTTAATTTTCTTACTGAGTATTGGACGGAACCGCTTCCTTTTAAACAAGTAAAGTCGCTCGTGATTGGTTGGCATATATATTATATATATATATATATATATATATATATATATATATATATATATATATATATATATATATATTTACATATATATTTATTCATATATATATTTATTCATATATATATTTATTCATTCATATATATATATATATATATATATTCATATATTTATTCATTCATATATTTATTCATTCATATGCTGTGTATTTATGTTATCCTACACTACTACACAATTATTATGCTACCATCAAGGACATGAATGAATTTATACAGGAAATGAAGATTTGCCAGGAAGCTGTTTATGCAAAGAAAGAGCTTTATTAAAACACACACAACTATATACAACGCGTATCCAAACACATGCGTATCTAAAAATTACAACTCCGTGAACGGTCCGTTTGCTTCCTCGGGGTTGGAGGTAACAGGCAGCATTCCCTCCGAGGCAGGTCCGATGTGCAGACGCCTACTGTGCGTGGCCCTGTACTTCGGCATCGCTTCTAACCGGGACTGCAGCTTAACACAGAGTTCAGTGAGATCCGGCCTACGAAATGGCGGCGACCGTACAATCCATCCAGAGACACCGCCGACGACGCCATCTTCTTCGTCGGACATGAGGTCGACGGTGGCGGACTTACAGAGTTCCATTTCCTCATCTGATAGCACACTCTGCCTCGCCTTCAGCAGCTGAAAAAAAAACAATGAATCAGCGCACTGCATATGGACACAACACATCTATCAATGCACCTGAAAAATAGTCACCAAATAAAGTCTTACCCTCTTTCTTCTGGCCCGACTACGAGCAGATAGCCTGGCGGCCTCCGCACGCAGCGTGCTGGCTAGCAGCGTGTATCTGAAGCTCCTGCATACCGTCTCATAATACGTCTTACAGGCAGCTGGAAAACAATTAAATGAGAGTGGTATGAATAAAAAAAAAATCAAACGCAAGTCACAGTAACAAGGAAGGAGAAAACATTAAAACAAGTCACTTACACACAATGTCGTCTTTATCAACATCGTGCAAATCCGAGCAAATAGGAGGTCACCGCCTCATTGTGAGGCGACTGTAGTCTGTGAAAAAAAAAAAAAAGTACAGCTATGGTCGGTATCAATCCGTATCCATGTCCTTTTACCGCATATTCTTTAAACCTTACCCCTGCTCCGGTTCATAGCGCCTGCAATTAGTTTCCGAGTTGTTAAGACGGCATATTGTTTCCTGTGAATCACAAAAAATACACTTTAATAAAGCTTTAGGCTAGGCTGCTTTTAGCTTACCTAGCTAGGCTAGGTTGTCTTTAGCTTGCCTAGCTAAGCTAGGCTGCTTTTAGCATAGCTACCAGTAATCGAACATATATTTACCGCTAGCGTGGCGTTGTGCACCCGTCTTCTCTTCCTCGAGTTCGTATATCCTGCAAAGTTGCTCGACTGCAGAGCCGCCATCTTGTCCTCTATGGACTACAACCTGGAGCGCATCGAATTCTCCAGCTGAGTGAGGCGTTCATTCATGTCGGCAGTATGTTGGGCAAGCTGACGAGACAGTCCGCTGATATCAATCAGCAGTTTCTTCTCGTCAGTCTGCGGGCTGGCCGAAAGTTGTGGACTAAGAGCAGTTGGAGGCGAGTTGAACGCGAGACGTCGTGCAGCCATTGTTCACGTAACAACAAAATACAAACACGGTAAATGGAGATGAAGTTCTTCTAAGTGTAGTAACACAAACATGTCTGCTAATATGCTGGTCTCGCGAGAAGTCGTAGTGCACAAAAGCTCACACGTGATTGGACGATGGGGCCGAAGGCTCATCAGGCTCCTCCAATCACATACGACGTCATTGTTATACGGAAGGACTCGCGAGAAGAGCTCGCGTCGCTCCATTCTGGAAGGTGGCGGTAATGCACCTATAAATTGTTTGCAATTGCAATTGTTTGTCTCCATAAGATTGAATTTGAGCAGGTGGACATTAGAGATAATAAATGCAACAACAAGTTTTTGAATCAATATTCTATAAATAATATGTACCCAGGAAGAACAAAAAGCACAGCTCTCTAACAAAATTTTAAGAAATCTATGATAGTCAAAATTAGGACAAATTATTTGAAATTCCCAATTCCTCCTAAATATAAAGAATTACAATTTAAAATAATAAATAACATATATCCTTCAAATGAGTTTTTAAGAGAGAGATTTAAGTTTAATGTTGAGAATTGTGGCTTTTGTACAACTCAATTGGAAACAACTAAACATCTTTTTTATGAATGTAAAGAAGTATTAAACTTATGGGATCAACTTCGAACCTTTCTGTCTTCTAAAACAATAAATTTAGATTTTATTTCCTGGCAAAACATTCAATTCGGTTTATCCATTAAAGAAAAAAAATTAGGAATTTTTAATCAATATTCTAATAATTGTAACAAAGTATTATATCCATAAATGTCGCTATGCAAAATGCTCCCTCTCAATCTCTGCTCTCAAAAATGAACTTTCCCTTTTCAAAAGATGTCTGAGAAAGATGCAGAATTTAAATGCAATTAAATTGTTTGAGTTAATTGAAGAATTTCAGTTGGTAGTCCCCACTGATTAATTTACTTTAAACCCTATTATTATTTTATTTATTTTTATTTATTTTATTTTATACTTTGTTCCAGCCTGTGCATTTAATTTTATTTTTCAAAAGCAGGAGTTGTGATATTTCTTCTTGTATTGAAATATTTGTTATTGACTTGTTGTTTGAGATTGTTATTGTTTTCTTATATATTCAATAACAAAAAAAAAAAAAAGTGGAAATCTAAAAAAAAAAATTAACCATTACAGCCAACTGATTCTGATTAAAACTAATTTTTGAAGTAAATTATTTTGTGTATTTTCTTTTACATAACATTTGCATACACAGTAATCTAGCGTACTTTAATTAAATAAATCAATTCAAGCTAAAATGTAAGAGTCTATAATTAGGCTATACTGGGCCTGATCTATTTCTACCATCTATTTGGAGGATATTTATTGCCACACTTTGGGCCACTTAAAACCAATTTAGCATGCTGACCTATGACCTTATGACCACAGTGTACCAATCTTCTGATGGCTACTTCCAACAGGATAATGCGCCATGTTATAAAGTGAATCATCTCAGAATCATTTCTTGAAACTTTTCCACTTAAGTAATTGTGAATTGAGCATATTGACAGACAACATTTTATTTTTTATCTTAAATGCAAATTTAAAAAAAAATAATTACTGCTCTAAATGTATTTCTCTGTCAGCTAAAGATCTGTTTTGGTCTCTATACTTTAATTAAATAAATCAATTCAAGCTAAAATGTAAGAGGCTATACCTGATCTCTTTGTATCAGAGATTTTCTTACCCAGGGTTGCAGGGGGGGTAAAACCCCCCCTGCAACCCTGGTTTGCATTTGTATAGCTCACAGCATGTTCATTTACATGTTAAAGCCTCCCCTAGAATTCCATGGGGGGGAGGCATGGGGGGAACACTGCCTAAGAAATTCCACGTCAATTTCTGACAATTTACGGGAGTTTACGGCAAGGCCTGCAAATTGCCGTAAACTGCCGCTAACCTGAAGTTCCACGACAATCTACAGTGCCGTATATTGACGAAAATCCCACTTTTCATGCAGTGCCTATTACTTTACTTGCTCAGCAGTGCAACAGACTCATGTCATGCCACAGACTGCACTGATTTAGGAATGCACATCAAAGGAAATTATTTTACAGGACTGACTTTTTCATCCATCCATCTTCTCCCACTTAGGGTGGCGGTGGGGCCCGTACCTTTCTCCAGCAGTCAATGGATGAGAGGAGGAGTACACCGTGGACAGCAACACAGAGACACACAACCATGGACATATAGATTCACACCTAAGGACAACTTAGAGAAGCCAATTACCTAACAATCATTCCAAAAAAGTAAAAAAAAACAATCCACTGGACTTTGTTTCCAGGTTTGAAGACATTTCGCTTCTCATCTGGGAAGCTTTTTCAATTAAAAATGTTGGAAGCGACTTGTCGAACTTGGAAACAAATTCTAGTAGTTTGTTTTTTAACTTTTTTGGAATGACTATGACCTGGATGACTACGAATCTTCACCAGCATAACCTAACAATAATGTTTTTGGACTGTGAAGCCGGAAGTACCCAGAGAGAGATCCACGCATGGAAGGGGAGAACATGCAAACTCCATGCAGAAAGACCCCGGACTGGGAATGACACCCAAAACCGTCTTGCTACCAGGCAACAGTGCTACCCACTGCACCACCATGCAGCACCTGAGTTTCAATACTCATGAAATTTTAAACTTCATATTCTAACTTATAAAAAGCTAAATCTCTTTGCCTTAGAGACAGTTTTTACCCGACAGCAATAACAAAACTAAATGCAACCAAAAATAACCATTAATCATCATGGATGATATGTCTGAGAATGTGCTATTCTTATTAGTGTTTTTATCAGTTATTGTTATTTATTTCTTATATTATGTGTAAATGGTGGTGACAGTTATTTTTGTTTTAACGCATATGCACTGATCGATCGATGGCACTTTTTTAAAATTTCGTTGTTCTTGTGACAATAAAGATAAATTGAATCATTGATATTTTCTCAGTGATGTGTGAACCTGTTTGCTTCCATTAACATCGCTGTTTGCAACTGACGCACCTGAATGTTCCCACATGGAATAAGACTTTTCTACTTTACATAAATACATTTTTTGACAATATTCTAATTTAACCCTATAATGCCAAATGTATCGTATTTGATACATACGGTTTCTATGTTTTGCATCTGACACCTTTTGCATAATTTAATGGTAAAAACTTTGCTCAAAATCCTATTGTACACAATCAGATATACCTGATAACAGCCAGTAGAAGACTACACAAAAAAATAATTTTGACTTATCGCATAGTAATAAATTATTAATATCAAAAATGTATTTCTGTTTTTTCTTTTTACATATTTTGTTAAAAGGCCAAATAAGGAATTCAGACCAAAAAAAAAGTTATTTTCTGTTTGTTTTTTTTATTCTTGGATCGGGCTTTAAAGGGTTAATGAGATGCAATTTTGAAGTTAACTTTTCTGTATTTCTGTATAACAGCCATTTATATTTTCTGGCACTTTTCACACAAAAAAACAGTACCACAGACTTTGCTCAATTTAATGTGTTTTATTCATTTCTTTATTTCATGTTATTGAAGAGATTTTGACAAAGTAAAATAAAAAAATTTGTTTTTTTGAGAAAAAAAAGGAGCTTGGGTAGAAGTGCAAACTTGAACAGACTAACAGGAAAAAATCCCACACAAGATCTTTTTTCTCTTAACATTCCTGCCCAGTTTAATGGTATATATTACAAAAGAAGTGGCCAGTTTTACTTTTTCCCCTCCACCATAATGATGTGATATCCGAACTTCGTCTTGACGGGTGGATCTGTGTAGACGGGTTTATCCATCGAACTGATAGGCAGAGCAAACGCTGCCTCCTGGAAAGGTCCAACCATGGACCCACGGGTCATCCACCCCAGATCACCCTGTCATGGAAGAAACAAATTCTTATTAGAAATTTTAAAAGAAAAGCATGACGCAAAACCAGACACTGATTTTTAACACTTATAATTTCCATTGATGCTTTCTTTGATTTTCTGAGTAAACCTGCGCACAAGTTTTGGTCTCTGATGCAGGTGTGAGCTGATGACAAACAAAACTCCGTCAGCGGTTTGATCACTCAGACCAGCTCTGCATAAAGCCTCCTAGTCCTATTAATCATATTCACAACATCTCAACTTGAGAGTATTTTTTCCGGTAAACAGTGACAACAGAAAAGCTGCTGTGTTGCAATATGTGATGTTCCAGTTTATTCACTCCACTGTGAATTCAGTCAAGCACAGATGAGATGGAAAATAAGATAAAAATAAGTCACTCTTAACTACAGGAAGGCTGTTTGCATAGCACTTACTGGAAAAACTTATTTTAAAAATAAATACACAGCTAGAAAAAACAAAAACAGTCCTACTTACTCCCTGTCTAGCTTTGTCTTCGCTGTATTGTGACGCTACTTCACTGAATCGAACTCCAGCTTTGAGTTTCTCCATGGCCTCCATGCATTTTCCATGCTTTTCACAGAGGATGTGTCGAACCTGAGGAGAGAAAAATGGGGGGAGTTTTTTGACCCTTCATTAATGACCCTGTGAGGTTAGGTCAGCACTGTCCAGTGGCTTGAAGAAGTATCAAACTTTTCTGCATTTTTTCCATACAGCTTAACAGTGAATCAATACAGCTTTGGTTAAAAAAAAAAATAAAATAAACAAAACACCAAGTGACGGTAGCCTGGACACCGGCGCCCCCGTGCTTCTCCCCCGCATGCCGCCTCCTCCCAGTCCCCCTCCTGCAGCTGAGGATGGGCAGCTGCCGAGGTTCGGTCCAGTCAGCGGCCAAGCAATCGACACTTCATAACCCCCGAGAAAAAGAAAAAAGGTGTCCTCCTTTTCCTTCAGAAACCCCAATTCTGGTCACACTAGGGCTAAATACAGTTCTCCTATCCTCCTAAAGTCTGAGATGAAAGGTTATGTTTCATTTGGATAAAGTAGACCTATACAGAAAACAATTACAATTTACAGAGCATATCCATAGATTATAAGGGGGTAGGCACCATTTAGACTTTCCTTTAAATAAAAATATGACGCAAGACTTCATTATTAATCATAACATATACTGAGACCAGGCTCAGAAAACACATTTAGCAAACATCTAATAATATACGTAAAGATTTTGACCACTACTTTGCCATTTCAATTCATTATAAAATATCAGTTATTATGTTTTCCTTACTTGCTTTGTGTATTTTATGTTGCTACTTAACCGGGATAATTTATTTCTTCTTTTATTTGATATTTAATTGGATTTATGCTTAAATAATTAATTTAAATGATGCATCTCTTTTTCAGTGCCTTTTTTTATTGCTTTATAAATAAAGTTGGCTTGGTTTGCTGCTGAAACACATCATTTCCCCACGCTGGGACAATAAATGATTATTCTATTCCTTTCTAATCTACTGCTTCCCCATTATGTGCTACTTTATGTCAATTTAATATTGTAATCATAAGTTTGCTGAACGTATAAGAGTATAAAAACTTCAAACATACTGCAAATGTCAGAATAAATGTATGGCTTTTTGGAAACAACACTAACTTTTGGAGTTTACATTAATGAACCAGAAATAAAACAGGCTGATAATCAGTCAGAAAATAACCGTAATGCTTTGAATACTAGCCCTCTGCTTTTAGAGCTGGGGGTAAAACCTCTGGTACCTTAACAGATGTTCCTCCTTTTGGGGCTTTTTCCTTTTTATCAGCGTCCGCACCTCCTGAAGCAGCTCCTACACAGAAACACCACAAGTTAAACTAGAGAGTGGAGCAGAGGAAATAGGGAGAAATGTTTGGGTAAACATTTTCATTGAGTGACAGCAGTGCATGCTAACTTACAGGTTAACCACCACAGCTAACAGTAACAGTTTATAACACAATGCGAACAGCAGGGACATTATGGGACACTAACCTTTACCGCCCTTTCCACCCTTTCCCTTCGGTGGCATTCTCTGAGCTTCTTCTTCTTCTTATGGGGTTTTATGGCGGTTGGCAGACTTGTGAATTGTGCATTACCGCCACCAACTGATATGGAGTAAAGCAAGAAAACAGAAAACGATTCACCCCCCCCCCCCCCCCCCAAAAAAAAAAAAAAAAAAAAAAAAAAAAAAAAAAAAAACCTGTGTAACTTAAACCAACATAATACTAAATCACATTTGCCCATATAATTTTTAATTTACTCTAGGTCATCTTAACTCTGCCAGTTTCTGATGGTCCCATCGGTCCTCCCATCATACTTCCAACCATCTCCCAGTTCAAATCTTTAATGTCCAGATATTTTTCTGCAGCCTTCACTATTATTTTGATTTTTTCCGTTTTTTTTTGTTGTCTGTGCAGTACAATTAATTACTTCTACCATGAAAAGAACAAAATTTGTCTTTTTAACAATAAGTGAGTCTTCATCAATTTTTTGATTCTCTAGAGGTTTGGAATTTGCCGTGTGTTGAACTGTAGGTTTGGGTTTTTCTGACTGAGATGGGATCCTTTTTGCAGCTTCAGCGTAGGTTATTCCGAGCTCAAATTTCATTTTTTTAATTTCCTCAGACCTTTTGCTTGCTTCACAGCCGCGATAAGCAGCAGTATGTTCTCCACCACAATTACAGCATTTTATTATAGCTTCTTTTCCACATTTACCATATTCGTGTTCTCCTGCACACCTTCCACACCTCTGTTTCCCTTTACAAACTGCTGCAATGTGACCGAATTTTTGGCATTTGAAACATCTCAATGGTGGAGGATTGTAGATTTTGACATTATAGCTTATGTAACCGATGAATACTTTGCTTGGTAATTGCTCTTCCTCAAATTTAATTAGCACTGATAAACTGTCAGATCTTTCTCCGTTTCTTGTTGTTTTTAACCGTTTTACTTCTTTTACTTTTGCACCGCTTATGTTTTCCAGAATCTCTTTTTCAGAAATTTTTAGAGGAACTCCTCCAATGACTCCCCTGCTGATCTTTTTGTTCTCCATTAGGCTGCACTGAACTCTTATCCCGTCAATTTTGTTGATCCGTATTGCTTTGCCTTGCTGGGCGCTGTCTCTGCAGTTAATTAGCAGGTCTCCACTGTACAGAATTCTGGCACCTCTGACTTCTCCGACAAGTTTATTGATGGTTTTTGTTAAGTGAACCGGATTCCAATTTGTAAAAGAGTCTGCCTGATTAACGACTTTGAATATGACTTTGAATTCATTTTGTTGTGCTGTGGAATGTATGGAATGATCATCACTGGATTGTTCTGAACTAGATTCCCCTTGAACTGATCTCTGTTTTTTCCGCTTTTTCTCATTTTTTGATGTTGCTATCTTCCACCCTTCATTGTCACTATTTCCCTCTTCCATCCCACAAGAATCGCTTCCTGTTTCCTCACTACTCACGGCCCAAGACATTTCTCCATAAGCAGCTTCAAAACACGCGCCATGCACCAAACGACCATCCACATCCGACCGACTCCCCTTTCCCCGGCGGGCCATTCTCTGAGCTAAAAGTAAGTTTAAAATATAAGCAAAATCTGCAAATGTGATTCAAGTGTTGTAGTACGCATGCGCGGTGATGGTTTGATTCTTCTTCTACGGCCTGTTTCTTCTTCTTCTTTATGGGATACTATTGGTGGGCTGCACGTAACGAAATGGCGCATTACCGCCACCAGCTGGTATGGAGTGTGGATCGAACGACTACTGGCAGCAAAACCAAATTTGTTCAAGATTCAAATCCTGTTAATTACGTTGATTAATCTAAGATGAGGAAAAATAATTACATAGCGCTTATCTATTTACTTCTTTCTAAGGATTTATATTAAATCAAAGCGTATTCTTTCCTTTTTAAAATTATGAACCATTTCCCAGGGCTGCCAACTTTTTACCAAACCTTGGGGTGAGATTGAAATAGTTTGGACAGGAAACCCTGTAAGGGTTAGAAGAGGACAGGTGCAGCTATAGGTTGGAGGTTTTCAAAAGATTTAACTGAAACAAAATGGCAAAATGCGGAATTTTTGCAGTAAATGTTACTGAATAACAACGAGTGAGCCGTAGTTATGTGGAACATTTTTCTCACAATATACATTATTTTCTATATTTTGGTGATTTTTAGAGAATTTAAGTAAAGCAGAATGGGCCCTACTAAAATACTTAAACTGTAAACTAAGAATTTCACAACTTTGTTTATTAATTTTTCTCTGCAGTTCATGTAAAATAAACAATGAGGAACTAATAAGCTATTACTCGATTACTGGCACTAATATCTCAGTGTTGAACTGGACAAAAAACTAGACTGGAAACACAACTGTGAAGCCGTATACAAGAATGGACAGAACAGACTGAACTTCTACAGGAAGCTTAGATCCTTTAGCGTTAAATGTTGCATATTTTCTATAGTCTGTTGTGGATAGTGTGATCTCTTCTGCCACTCTCAGCTGGAGTAACAGCATCAAATAGCTCAAGAAGCTAATATTGAAGGCCGGCTCTGTTCTAGATACTCCTCTAGAATCTCTGCAGACGATTTCAGAGAGAATTCTTCATAAAATCAAGAACATTATGGGGAACACTGAGCTTCCTCCTTAGAAGACTCTTGAAGTACCACAGAGTGTTTTCAGTCAGACTTCTCCAAATCACTTTAAATGGAGATCACTACAGAAGATCCTTTATTAACCAGAACTGGATTTTAATGAGCTGCAGTGACATTTCTGAGCTAAATGAGTTTCAGTTTTCATCTTGTTGAATCTTATACTCTCCATGGCCAGTATGGCCACTGTTACAACAATAACAATGAAAGAAGCACTTTTCTGCATGATATACAGGTGCTGGTCATAAAATTAGAATATCATGAAAAAGTTGATTGATTTCAGTAATTCCATTTAAAAAGTGAAACTTGTATATTATATTCATACATTACATACAAACTCATATATTTCAGATGTTTATTTTGTTTAATTTTGATGATTACAAATGACAACAAATGAAAATCTCAAATTCATCATATCAGAAAATTAGAATATTGTGAAAAGGTTCAAAATTGATGGCCCCTGGTGCCACACTCTAATCAGCTAATTAACTCAAACCACCTGCAAAAGCCTTTAAATGGTCTTTCAGTCTAGTTCTATAGGCTACACAATCATGGGGAAGACTGCTGACTTGACAGTTGTCCAAAAGACGACCATCGACACCTTGCACAAGGAGGGCAAGACACAAAAGGTCATCGCTAAAGAGGCTGGCTGTTCACAGAGCTCAGTGTCCAAGCACATTAATAGAGAGGCGAAGGGAAGGAAAAGATGTGGTCGAAAAAAGTGTACAAGCAAGAGAGATAACCGCACCCTGGAGAGGATTGTGAAACAAAACCCATTCAAAAATGTGGGGGAGATTCACAAAGAGTGGACTGCAGCTGGAGTGAGTGCTTCAAGAACCACCACACACAGACGTATGAAAGACATGGGTTTCTGCTGTCGCATTCCTTGTGTCAAGCCACTCTTGAACCACAGACAGCGTCAGAAGCGTCTTGCCTGGGCTAAAGAGAAACAGGACTGGACTGCTGGTGAGTGGTCCAAAGTCATGTTCTCTGATGAAAGTAAATTTTGCATTTCCTTTGGAAATCAAGGTCCCAGAGTCTGGAGGAAAAGAAGAGAGGCACTTCATCCACGTTGCTTGAAGTCCAGTGTAAAGTTTCCACAGTCAGTGATGGTTTGGGGTGCCATGTCATCTGCTGGTGTTGGTCCATTGTGTTTTCTGAGGTCCAGGGTCAACGCAGCCACATACCAGGAAGTTTTAGAGCACTTCATGCTTCCTGCAGCTGACCAACTTTTTGGAGATGCAGATTTCATTTTCCAACAGGACTTGGCACCTGCACACAGTGCCAAAGCTACCAGTACCTGGTTGAAGGACCATGGTATCCCTGTTCTTAATTGGCCAGCAAACTCTCCTGACCTTAACCCCATAGAAAATCTATGGGGTATTGTGAAGAAGAAGATGCAATACACCAGACCCAACAATTCAGAAGAGCTAAAAGCCACTATTAGAGCAACCTGGGCTATCATAACACCTGAGCAGTGCCACAGACTGATCGACTCCATGCCACGCCGCATTGCTGCAGTAATACAGGCCAAAGGAGGCCCAACTAAATACTGAGTGCTGTACATGCTCATACTTTTCATGTTCATACTTTTCAGTTGGCCAACATTTCTATAAATCCTTTGTTTTTATTGGTCTTCAGTAATATTCTAATTTTCTGATATGATGAATTTGAGATTTTCATTTGTTGTCATTTGTAATCATCAAAATTAAACAAAATAAACATCTGAAATATATGAGTTTGTATGTAATGTATGAATATAATATACACGTTTCACTTTTTAAATGGAATTACTGAAATCAATCTACTTTTTCATGATATTCTAATTTTATGACCAGCACCTGTATTTGCCATTAAACACAAACCTGACCTAATGCTGCTTATGAAGAACTGCTTCAAATGGTGAAAGTCGATAAGGATCCTATTGCTCCTACTTCACAACTCATAGCTCTGACTTTCAGGGGAATTTCATTTGAAATGAAAAATAAAAAACAAAAACGGGAGTCCAAAGTTTGTTTTCATTTGTCCCAAGATTCTTTAGATCACTTACTGTTTTCCTGTGAAGTTTCCGTCTAAGTTAAATGTTACTCATTACAGTAGTTGTAAAAAAAAAAGAAAAAAAGAAGGGGGTGGTGGGATTTTTTTTAACATGTTTTTTGGAGGCATCCATAGCCTAATTAATATAGTCTATTAACCTAAAGCAATATGCATGGTATAGTTGTTACAGGAACCGCTCCACTGAGGACACCATCTCCTCTGCTCTTCACCTGAGCCTGGCACACCTGGAGGAGAAAAACACCCACGTGCGGATGCTGTTCCTGGTTTTTGGTTCAGCGTTCAACACAATCATCCCACAGCATCTGATGGGCAAACTGGAACATCTGGGCCTCCATACACCCCTCTGCAATTGCCTGCTAGACTTCCTCACAGACAGGCCTCAGACAGTCCGGGTCGGACAGAACACCTCTGATGTCATCAGTCTAAGCACAGGCTCCCCTCAGGGCTGCGTTCTGAGCCCCCTGCTGTTCACCCTGATGACACACGACTGCGTCCCCAAGTTCACCACTAATCACATCGTGAAGTTTGCAGACGACACCACGGTGGTGGGCCTCATCAGAGACGACAGCGACCTGAACTACAGAGAGGAGGTGGAGCAGCTGGTGCAGAGATAACAGCCTGATCATGAATGTGGAAAAGATATAGGAGATCATTGTTGACTTAAGGAAGAACCGACCTAAACACGCTCCACTGCTCATCAACAGCTCAGCTGGTGGTCAGCAGCACCAAATTCCTGGGGGTGCACATCAGAGACACCCTTACCTGGACTGGAAACACCACCTCACTGGTCAAAAGGGCACAGAAGCGCATGTGCTTCCTGAGGAGGATGAGGAGAGCCCACCTGCCCCAACCATCCTCCCCACCTTCTACAGAACCCCCATAGAGAGCGTTCTGACCAGCTGTCTCACTGTGTGGTGTGGAGGCTGCAGCGCCTCAGACTGGAAGCAGGTGAGAACAGCAGAGAGGATCATGGGGGCTCCTCCTCCCTCCATTAAAGACATTTCATCCCAGCGCTGCGTGTCACGAGCCTGTGACATCATAAATGATCCCTCACCCCCCCACCATGCACTGTTCTCCCTGCTGCCCTCTGAGAAGAGGCTTCAAAGCATTCAATGCAGGTCCAGCAGGTTTCAAAACAGCTTCTTCCCCACTGCCATTAGACTGCTGAATGCTGTATTAAATGGGGTTTAAATAAATTTAAAAAAGCGCTGAATGTTGGAATCTGTAAATCATATACCAGTCTTATGTTTACATTTTATAACAGCTGCTTGTAATCTATCACTGCTGCACTTTAAAAATGGAAATGTAATGAGAGCTGCACTGAACACAATTTGTTTTTGTATACATTCTATGTGTACAAAATGACAATTAAGTTTGTCTAAGTCTAACTCTACAGTAGAACTGCAGTCAGTCCATGCACTAGCATGGCTTTCACTGCTCCTATATAGTTTGGGACAAATTACCCACTAGGATCAGCTTCATAGTCATGGTAGGACACTTCTTTGATTTTATTTATTTTGCTGAGGCTACCCATAAGCCCACAGCCTTCCAAATGTTGAAAGGTTAATATTATCGCCATTACTGTTAATATGTAGTAGAAATGTTTCACATTCAGTAATAAAATGTCACAGGGATGGTATGGGGGGATGGTTATTTAAGTAGGGGGACGCCAGCCCCACTCATCCCTCCTCAACTTGAGCCTCATTAAATCCATCGGCTCACCACTCTGTTTCTGCTCCTGCATCTACACAGCAGCCTAGAACAATAATCCTTGACACGCTTGGTAGAAATCGAAAAAGAAAAAAAAAAAATCCCCTCCGTTGTAAACAACTTTCATTTCCATAGAAAACTGTCTAATCAGTAACTTTTGGTTTTATTTCACTATGTTGTTTTTTTTTTGTATGAGATGCCTTTTATCACTAATGAAATGTTTTATAATAGGAATAATTTCATGCTGAACATGCTGCATAATCCTCTT